TTCTCTGCCATGCGATGAAATGCAGTTGGCGCAATGCCGATGGGAAACCTTAAAAACAGCTGTTAGTAATGTTCCAAGGCACATCAAAGAAGAAAGCTCAAATTCACGCGATCTCGCTTCCAAACCACTCCACGGTCGTGTCCATTTCGCTAACGTCTCTCAAACATCTGGGAACGATAAGAAGGCTGAAGATGGCGACAATCGTGGCTCTAACATGATGGAGTGGACATTGAATACCTTTGAAAAGCTTTTTCATTTCGTGCTAAAGTTAATTCTTCATCTGCCCCTCCATTGTAATATTCCAATTCCATCTTGTTTAGCTTTGTCTCGGCTTCTTTGCGATAGTCATCAACTGTTAGGAGAAGCTTTTTCGGCGACATCTGCAAGAAAGTTATGGGGCCTAATGGGAACAAATCTGATGTTCGCGTTAATGATTACAGTGGTAGTTCTAGTGTAAAGTTAAACGTCATACAATGTTTCTTCTAGGCCTGAAGTTGTTCCTTTTAGCCCCTAAAGTCGTCGTTTAGTTCAATAAGCAAATTACATTGAGCAGTAAAAATCAAAACAAATGAATCACCGGAATCAAACAGGAAATGGTCAAAAAATACACAAATTAGATGCTCAGTTGAGGAGTTCTCGCAAAAAAAAAAACCGATCCCAGTGGTAGCAAAAACAATCAACTACGCAACCGATAAGATTGGCCAGGCTGACTGGTCGAGCAAAGGTCAACAAATGACACTTACCAAGGTGAAAAATCTATGTTATGGTAAAACAACAAAATGTTTACTATCTCACTTCCCTACCTGTATATAGTTTCAAATTTTAAAGTCCAAAAATATGTTGGAGATATGTAAATTAACGTTTGCTCTGACTAATCATTTCTTAAGAAAGCTGGTGCTTTAGCTTATTGAGGAATTTGTTTTTACATGAATCGAATGCTTTTCGAATTAACCACAATACATTGGTAAATAATTTCTATCGTTTCGAGCCAAAATTCCAAAAAAAA